ATATAGAGATATATATATATATATATATATATATATATATATATATATATATATATATATATATATATATATATATATATATATATATATATATATATATATATATATATATATATATATTCTACCCTATCTATCTCAATTCAAAAGTAAATAAAAAAAAAGATTCGCGCTGGTAATTAATATAAGAAAAAAAAAAAATCCAAAGGTTCCCTTGTTAAAATGGTATGGTTTCGCCCATAACACTTGCCCACAAGGCCAATCGCCACCTATCTCTCAATTCACCTTCCGCCGCCGCCGCAGTATATATATATATATATATATATAGTCCCTCAATTCTTTCTATTTCTCTCTCTCTCTCTCTTAATTTTTTCTCAAACCACCATTTTTATATTTTATTAAATTATTATTTGAAATTTTGTTAAAAAAACGATTCAATGCTTGGGAGTTGGCCTTCGTTCGACCCTCTGAACTTCACCCAGTTCAAGCCCAATGATCCTTCCAATCCTTCGGTATGACCTCTTTTTTTAATCATTATCAAAGATTTTAATCTTCCGTTTGCTCAGTTGGAAGAATTCTTTCAAGATTCTTCTGTTTTTTCGATGAGTTTGTGCTTTGCTTTGCTTTGTTTTGTTTTCTGTTTTAATTGAAAGTTGAAGGTTTTTGACTTGTGGGTTATGAATTCTTGTTCTGTTTTGGGTAAATTATGGCCGCCCCTCTGAAATAAGGTCAAATTACGAAAAACTCCCCACCTGTTTGGGTAATTACAACCACCCTTCAACTATTAATCTTCTTCCATGTCCATCCTTATAGTGTCAAATTCAACAGAATCTTCTAATTCCGTGAAATGTTCTCTAGTTTGTACTCGTTTTGTGCAAAAATACAGTTTCTGAAGCACAATGCACCACAATCTGATATTTACAAGCCAAGAAGCACATCTTATGATCATTTTGTTTCAAAATGTGGAACTCGAATGGGGTAAAACGGGTATAAACTGGAGAATATTCAATATAATGTAGAAGATTCCACTAAATTTGACACCGTAAGGATGTACATATAAGAAGATTCGTAATTGAGGGGTGGTTGTAATTATCCAAACATGAAGGGTTTTTTTTTTTGTAATTTGATATTACCTCAGGGAGATGGCCGTAATTTACCCCTTTTTTTGGTGTAACAATTTGCATGAAATTTGTGGTTTCCGTAAATGGATTTGTAATTCGGTGAGAATCCTGAAGTGGGTGAAAATTATTGATCTTGATGAACTTGTAATGAGTGAAACAATGGTCGACTAAAGTTGATCTCAAACTTAATAATAGACTTGGCTGTTTGTCTGTTAGTTAGATTGTAACAGAATAAATAACAGAAATTATCATCCGCTATAGCGCGAATGCTGATGAGTACGTAAACTAGATCACTGCAAGTTTCGGATCAACCGACAGAGTTTACAGATAGTTGGTTTGATGAAGTGAACGTGTCTTGAAATTGATGGATGTTTTGCCATTAATGAATCTACTTTTCTCGAAGTTTATAGACGTATAAAAGACTGTCATAAGTGACGTGTTTTTGTCGTTTATAGAATTTAGGAGTGACCTCTTCTCTTTTTTATCGGGGAATTAATGCAGAAGACACGTTTTCTTACGCCTTCTCTTACATTCTCATTTCATTGCCATTTCCCATCCTTTTGATTTTATTACGTTTGTTTCTAGTTATGGCATTCGTGTCGGGCCCACGAATGCCATAACTTCATATACTAAGGGGGTAATAGATGATTCCGGAAGTATTAGGGTTCTAGAAGACTTATCGATCTCGAATGAGAATGGAAAAGGATAAAACCGACATTTTGTGCTTGATCGCACTTCCTCGTTTCACTTGACTTTCTTAATTACATATCCGTTCTCTGCTAATGTTGTCTGTCTTAGACGATTGGAGTTTCAAGAGCTATATATATATATATATATATATATATATATATATATATATATATATATATATATATATATATATATATATATATATATATATATATATATATATATATATATATATATATAAATATATATATATATATATATATATATATATATATATATATATATATATATATATATATATATATATATATATATATATATATATATATAGA